AATGCCCTGTTCTTTACCTGTTGGTGCCCCCTGCAGGTTTGTAGCGGTACTGTGCCGTCACATTGTAGCTGTGGCAACGGGTCACATTGTACCCGAACGGTTCCCACCGCACAGTCACCTGTTTGGACTGAACCTCCACCACCTCGAGACGCCGCGGGCCGTGCATGGGATCTGACAAAATCACAGAAGAAGAAGAAAGATGTTGACATCAGTCTTGCTGTTCTCTAATATTGACCATCACAGAAGAAGAAGAAAGATGTTGACGTCAGTCTTGCTGTTCTCTAATATAGACCAATCACATGTGTGTGTGTGTGTTAATGTTCCAACATGTGAAAAAAAAAAGACAGTTTCAAACACCACCATCACCATGTGTCGTTTTAATGGGATTTAGTAAAAAAAAAATATTTAACACCACCATCACCATGTGTCGTTTTAAGGAGATTTAGTAAAAAAATTTTTTTTTAAAAATCCACCGTCTTTGAAGGTCATAGGTGACAAGGTGTTTGTTGCCGTGGTTACGACCTGTCATGATCACCACACTCAGCAGAGGTCGCACTAAAGGTCACAGAAGTCTTTCCCTGACAATAAAACACACACTGGTGTGGAGTGAATGTTGGTGATGACAGCTTCAAGAGAAGAGACAAAAAAGGTAGGAGATTAAAGGAAGCTGCATACGGCACGGGAACACACACACACACACACACACACCCACACACACACACACACACACACAGGCAGAGTCTAAGTGCTGTATTTCAAGATGACAGACAGCGATTCACTCAGAGAGAGAGAATGATGGATGAGAGCAGTAGAGAGCAATTTCTCTGCGTGTGTGTGTGTGTATAAAGTGTGTATCATTGTGTGTGTGTTTTCAGGTGTTTTGTGCAGTCTGTGAACAATACCTTTACTGTTCTTTTTCCTCTTTCATCTATGTGTGTGAGCGATAGAGAGTAAAGTTGTGTCTCTCTCTCCCGCACACACAAACACACACACACACACACACACACACTCTCACACACACGCACAGGGTCGTGGGTCAAGGGGGATGAGGAAGAATATGAGGACTGAGGTGGATCCTATTACCCATAATCCCTGAGGGAAAGTGAACGCTATCATATAAAATCCTCTATATTCCCCAAGAACGTACCTCTGTGTGTGTGTGTGTCTGTGTGTGTGTGTGTGTCTGTGTGTGTGTGTGTGTCTGTGTGTATGCGGCTGTCGCGGTTTCTATGGTTTCCGTCCCATCATTTTTGGATGACATTTAAATCAGACATAGACAGAGTGACAGACTTTTTTTTTTGTTAAATTTTATCGAATAAAAAAAAGAACGCACTAAAGAGGAGGATGAGGAGGGTCCTGTCTTCACAGTGATGAAGAGCATCATCTTTATCATGGTCCACTGACACGGTACCAGCCTTGAGTCAGAGTCTCTGCCGTCATTTACAAGGTTTCTGCCTTTAAGTACGGCTCTTTGTCAGGCATTTTCCTCTAAACGGGATCAGCGTTTACAACAAAATGGCATCATAAAAAAACCCCAAAAAACACAAAGCACTGATTCTAACCTGAAAGTTTAACAGTGCAACATGAAGCTGTAGGACTAGAGCTGCTGTGTGTGTACACTACAGTACTGTAACAAATACATTAAAAAGGAGCAGATGAAGAAGTTGGTGGTGAAACTGTTCTCTGATATATTTTTCATTTGTTTGTTGTCTGGAAAGCCAACAGTGTTGTGTTCAGAAATGGGGAAACTAATCAGTAAGTAATTAGTTGATAACTAGTTTTGGTGGTCGGCAGATTTACAGGAAGTTCTTCCATTTCTGCAGCTTGAATTTGAATTTCAAAACTGCCTGGCCTATTGGCAACGCTTATGGGCGTGGTAAACACCCCTGGGCATTTTCCTGACTTTTAAGCACTTTTAATGGAGCAAGTGGCATATAATTAACATATATTTAATTATGAAAAGAGCAGATAGTTTCAACCCCCCCCCCCCCCCCGCACTCTCTCCCCGATAAAAAAACTCCAAAATATCACTTCAACCAGTACTGTGATAAGTCAGTATCTATCGTGTTACTACAAATACCTAAACATTTAAGAGCTGATAAACTGAGCTTCCACTTCATGTTCAGTAAAGATAATTGACCGCACTCTCCAGAGCGCGCACACACACACTTACACACACACTCACACACACTCACTCAGTCACAGCTGCTCTTTTGTTCTCAGTGAAAAACAGGAAATTTGGAGCTTTTCAAGAATTTCTCATTGAGTGGATCACCCCGCTCACTCCACTCCTACACAGTGTCTCTCTCTCCCTCTCTCCCTCTCTCTCTCTCTCTCAACTCATCATTAGACATCTGCTCATTGACTTCACTTCCTCTGTCTGTGCACAGCTCAGAACCATTATCAATGTGAACACTTACTTCTACGTACATTTGCCTCTAAAACTGCACATAAATGCAGAGCTGAGTGTTTACACATCAGCCAATTCATTCATATATATATATATATATCAATCCAGAATCAAAGCCAAAAGTACAAATATATATCAAAACTCAGCATAATTAAAGAATAAATTGGTCAGTGAAGTGATGAAGACGCAGAGCTGGTCATCACCTGTGTGTCTGCGCGAGGGCGGAGCTTGTTAGAGTGGAGCAGCCAGCGTCGAGGAGAAGGAAGAGGAAGAATATTTTATAGAGGAGTGTTGAATGTTTGAAGGTGACTTTAGGATGAAGCAGAGGAGGAGCAGAGGTTTAATTTTTCATTTCCAGGAGATCACCAGATTTAATATGAAGAGGAGGAGGTGGTGGTGGAGGAGGAGGAGGCGAGGGGAGAGGGGGGAGAGGGAGGAGGGAGGGATGAAGATGAGATGAGAATCAGTGATGGATGATTCATGTTTGACCAGCAGAGTGAAACGCTGATCGATATTCAGCCAGACATTTGGATTTTTATTTCAACATCCTGTGTGTGTGTGACTGTGTGTGTGTGTGTGACTGCGTGGATGTGGTTGTGTTTGTTCACGTCTGTTTCTATGTAACACAATTGTAAACAAGGTGTTGCCGTGGTAATGGGAAGAAAGTGTCAAGGCTCAGGTCACACTTATTTATTTTTGTGGGGAGGTAGTGGTAAAGCGCAGTAACACCCAGTGAGAGTGTGTTTTACACCGTACACACAACACTTCACCACTTTAGACACAATCATACTGATTTATTAGCAAAAGTGAAATTAATTTCTAACTGCCAATAGCTAACATTCTGTAAATACTGCTTCGTAGCACAGCTAACAGTGAGCGTAAACTAAATAGTTCTGCTAACAAGAGAATTAATAGCTCGGACTGAACAGCTAACGCTAACGTAATAGCTATCAGCTCACACGGAATATCATTTAGTGTAACAGTTATCCTAGCTGCTAACGGCTAATTTTGAAAAAGAGCTTTAGTGAAATGTGTAAAAAAAAAAATCTTATCATGTGATTATATTCCAAAGACAAAGATGAATCTGACGTGAAGTTTTGGAAAATAAAAATAGATAAAAAAGAAACTCTGAAAGACGAACAGAGCGTGAAGATCTGAGGTGAAAAAAGAGAAGTGAAATATTAATGTAACAAACACACACACACACTTTAATGGATGTTCACACACACACTCACACACACACTCACGCTGCAGCACTGCAAAAACTAAAACTTCAGATTCATACATTTTAAAATGCTTTTAAAATATTACTAATAAATGCCATCAGGCATTTTTTTATATATATTTGACCATAAAGACTATTTCTATGACCTGTCGCGGCTGAAGAACTTTGTTTTTTTGTTTTTTGTGGCTTCAAACTGATTTCCTCGATGGGTTTTGAGTTTGGTGAAGTAAGAGACAGAAAGTAAAATATTTAGAAGAATCACATAGAATAATAATAAATGATTAAACACCACGTCCTCGTTACTTTTCTGAAGACTTAGAAAAGAACGGATAAACAGGAAGTGACATCATCATGTTTATCTGACACCATACTGTGTCGACTCAGTGAGCTCTAAGTCCTGAAGCTTGTTTGATGGACAGCCTAATTTATTATTAAACACACTGTGACATGAAAATAAACTTATACACACACGTATTCAGCTGTGTGTGTGTGTGTGCACGGACACACACACACTGGTTTATAATTCATTAGCAGTAAAATAAATAAGTAAAAGTGAGTTGATGGAGAAATGGGGAATTATAAGAGTGAGGATCTCACTCCCACACACACACACACACACACACACACTTGTCTTTTGTTTCCCTGTGTTTTCTCTGAGGAACGCTTGCTTTAACCTGCTGACAGTCCCAGAGGGGAGGAGCTTACAACAGACGTTTTTTTTCTATGGTTGTCAACTTTCTGACGGAGCCGTCACCCTCATCAAAGAACTGTTCATGTCTACAACACACACACACACACACACACACACTGAGGCTTCACTGAGACCATTACATTTTCAGATGAAAATCATCTGCTTCCAGATGAGTGTTTTTCGTCGCAGTATTTGGTGACAATGATCATGTGACCAGGTATAACCAGGAACTGTCCTCGACAGTCAGAGAAAGACATTGTTCACACAGTCTTAGACCAGAACAACCAACAACCAACCAGGAAATGAATGAAGGCTGCATGCCACACATGACCTACAATTATTTCCTTTCACACCCTGTTTACTGACCCAGAAAATACTTCTGCCAAAACATGGCAAATACGACTTCTGAGCATCAACAGTAGTCTGTTCTGTGAGCAGTGCTGTCAGTGGTCACTCACAGTACTGACAGGAGCAAAAAAAGAAAAGACAATCTGCGGAACATGAACCTATTATCCTGCGTCCTCAGTCTGTTGGACCAGGCTTTTATTATGCTCAAAATATCATTACAAGTGCAACGCAACACAAGCAGAAAACCTGTGTTAAATTGAGCTACTTTGAAAAAGCAGCAGTGTTTGAACAGGCAGCCGAAAGACCTCCAGCTGGTGAAGACCCTGAGAGGACACTGTTGAGACAGCAGACCTGTCCATGTCCATTAACCAGCTATTGAACTAAGAGACAGCAGCATCCAGGCCCCATCTGTTTGAATTAAAACAGCTCCAAAGGCTACTTCACTGAAAACTTAAACTGTCTACATAAAAAAAAGGAGCCTTTTGGGCTTAAATATACTTTACAAAGAATATCACTGCAAACAAAGAGCCTTTCATTTTAACCTTTGTGTGTGTGTGTGTGTGTGTGTTTATGAGAACATACTACAGGTATCCTGTGACATCATTCCAACATGTTCAGACAGGGCACACGTGTTATTCCCTTAGAGTCCCAGACGTGTTGTTTCTAACACGTCTGTGACTGCCTCTCTTTTTCTTTCTCTTTCTCTCTATCCCTCACACACACACACACACACACTTAGTTTATTTAGTTTATTTATTTATAAAAGATAATTCAGTTTATTAATAGAAGATAATTAATCCTCCAACAGCATAAACATAATAAACACCAGTCATTTTTTTTTCACTGAATTTAAAATGTTTTTTAATCAAGAATAAAAAAAGCTTAAAGTTTTATTTACTGAAGTTTTTTTTTTGTTTGAGGCATGTTGTTTATTTTTATGGGAGAATGTTTTATTCATAAACCAGGACAAATTCAATTTAAAACGCGTTTTTAATGAGGCTGAATGATAACAATCATTAAAAATAAATAAAGTGAAAACCTGCAGTAGCTGATTAACGAGCTAACAACCATCTCACACACACACACGCACACACACACACACACGATGTTTACACCTACACACACCTGCAGCAGTATGTGTGTGCAGCACCCACTGTCCTCATTAGCAGCTAATTAGCGAGGCGCTAACGAAGCGCAGCTCGCTGCCTTAATGACCTCACAGCTAACCATTAGCCACCTGATGAGCTCAGCGCTAACGTGGCCTAGCACAGCATGCTATGCTAATGACTCTACCATAAATCTCCTAATGAGCTCTGTGTGGGTGTAGCCTTTTGGTTAGCCACTAGCTGCTAACAGACACGGGGGTTTTTTCTGTGAGAAGGCGGAAGAAATCTAAAAAAAATTGTCTTCAAAGTTTCATCATGTGACGTTTCACTCACCGGCACACTTGGTCTTCGCTCGGAGAGGTGGACCGGGGCTGCCCGTGCCCCCCTCCAGGGGCCTGGTGAGCAGGACGCTGATCTCGTACTCAGTGTCGGGGTCGAGGTGGCCGATCTTGTGAGTAGGTTTGTCCACAGGTGTGGTGTCTATCAACATGCCCAAGGTGGTGCGATACTCCACCTGATTGACACCACGACCAGAGCCAAATGTTCTTAATCAATAAACCATTTTATGATTGATCAGAAATCAGCATTATTACGTCAGAAACCATCAATGTTGAAAACAAAAAAACTGGTCAATGCATAAAAGTTAAATAATAAACTTTCGATATACCAATTAATCAATAATCTAATCAATAATCTATCAATGCACTAATTTGAATCCAGTAAGAACACGATGAAATGTATAAATTCATACAGTGTATTTGCCTCATTGCCTACAATGAGTCCTACAGACAACATTGATGATGTCACTGACGAGCTGATCAGCATCAAACCTCTCTCTCTATGATTGGTCCGTCTCCGTTGATGGAGTTGGCGTTAAGTTGAATCCAGAGGTAGGTGGCACCAACCGCTGTCAGCTGAGGGGGGGCGATGGGGACGGGGGGTTCTGAGGAAGGAGTTAACACATTAATTAATATCTGTGACCTTCAGCGAATCAAGACAGTCCTGGATGTTATTACCCAGCGTCCTCTGCGGCGCTGCTCCAGTTCATCCTGACCCACTTCACACCACACACGCAGACAGACACACTTGTGTGTTACTCACGTTTGACCGTCAGCTCAGCGTAGGAGGACACGCCCACGCCTCTCTCTGATTGGCTGATGCAGCGGTAGCGTCCGGTGTCTCCTCGACTTGTGTTTGTCACGTCGAAACTTGCAACGTAACGTCGGGAGTTCACTGGTTTGGTTTCTCTGACCGCTGCCTGACGACCAGACATGCCCTGAAACAGCAATCACAGTGATCAATATTTATTCCTATCAATCAATGGTGATCAATTATTAGTGCTAATCAATAACTGTTGATATAGTCATCAATATCCCGATGTATGATTAGAAAAGAATCATGTGCAAAGAACAACTCTAATTAATATATATGTGTTGAGTCTGATCAATACCAGTATTGATCAGATATCAATACCAGTATTGATCAGACTATAATAACAATATTGATCAGTCTACTGATTGCAGTA